CACTCCCACCTCGACCTCCCAGGCTCAAGCCATCCTCCCGCCTCAGCCTCCTGAGTAGCTGGGACTACAGGCATGTGCCACCACCCCCAGCTAATTTTTGTATTTTTTTGTACCGACAGATTTCACCACATTGCCCAGGTTGTTCTCAAATTCCTGGGCTCAAGCAATCCACCCACCTTCTCCTCCCAAAGTGTTGGTATTACAGGCATGAGCCACTGCGTCGGCCCAAAATTTTAATTTTCACTGGAAAGTGCTACTTCATCACTGGCAACAAATACTGACAGCTTACACTGAAGTAACAGGTTCTCAGTTCATTTTCAAGATGTCTGCCAAATACCCAAGTATGAACAATCACTGTTTGTCATTCATTCAAGTAAAAATAATGTCCCATGGAAAAAAGCTGTTAGTTCAGCTCACTCAATCACAAGCATACTCTTGCTCAAGAAAACTAATGCAGGCCTGTAATCCTAGCACTTTGAGAGGCCGAAGCACTTGAGGTCAGGAGTCCCAGCTATTCGAGAGGCTGAGGCAGGAGAAGCGCCTGAACCCGGGAGGTGGAGGCTGCAGTGAGCTGAGATTGCACCACTGCACTCCAGCCTGGGCAACAGAGAGATTTTATGTCAAAAACAAAGACGTACAGTCAAGAGTCCAATTTAATCAAATTAAATGTTTTACTCTTTCATCAAGAACCATTGATAGAACTGGCATTTTTTTTTTTTTTTTTTTTAGACGTAGTCTTGCTCTGTCGCCAGGCGGGAGTGCAGTGGTACGATCTCGGCTCACTGCAACCTCTGCCTCCCAGGTTCAAGTGATTCTCCTGTCTCAGCCTCCCGAGTGGCTGGCACTACATGCGCATACCACGGCACCTGGCTAACTTTTTCTATTTTTAGTAGAGATGGGGTTTCACAATGTTGGCCAGGATGGTCTCGATCTCTTGACCTCATGATCTGCCCGTCTTGGCCTCCCAAAGTACTGGGATTACAGGTATAAGCCACCGCGCCCAGCTGCCTTTTTCTTTTTTTTTTTTAAACTCTTTGCTGTCACTGCCTTGATGTTTGCTAAAGCATCAGCAGTTTTACCCACCACTGCTATGGCACCATCAGTGGAAATGGCAATAATATGTAAACATTACCACAAAAAAAAATTTTAGCCTCGGAGACTCCCTATGGTCTGCGGACATCCTGAGAAACAGGACTCTAACCAAACTAGAATATGCTAAAAGCACACATTATGTCCACAACTCCAAGCTGTTCGTGTCACTCGTGTCTGGGGAATTCCCACTTATCTTTCTAAGTCTAGCTAAGTGTCACTTTCCAGTGGGTCCCTGACACACCACCTCCAGCACCGCTCCCCTCCTTTAGATATCTGTTCCCTTAATGCTTATCCTCTTTATAACTTCCGCTATGTATACTCATTTACAGAATACATCCATGGCCATTCTGAACCCCCAGGCCAAGCCCACACTGTAACATCCTAAGGTCAATAACCACATCTTATAATCAATCAATCCAATCAGCACCACCCAATAAACTGAGATTTTAGGCAAAACAGTGACAAAAAACCTAATCATATATTGTCAGGGAAATAGTCTGACAACCTCTCCAGTCAGATCAACTCTATATTATTATTTTTCTGAAGCAATCTTCCTAAAATATAATTTACAACCTGGGCAACAGAGCAAGACTCTGTCTCTACAAAAAATAATTTTAGACCAGGTACTGTGGCTCATGCCTGTAATCCCAGCACTTTGGGAGGCTAAGCTGGGTGAATCACCTGAAGTCAGGAGTTCCAAACCAGCCTGACCAACATGGTGAAACCCCGTCTCTACTAAAAATATAAAAATTAGCCAGGTGTGGTGGCGGGTGCCTGCAATCCCAGCTACTCGGGAGGCTGAGGCAGGAGAATTACTTGAATCCCAGAGGCGGAGGCTGCAGTGAACCAAGACTGCGCCATGGCACTCCAGGCTAGCCGACAGAGCGAGACTCTGTCTCGAAATAATAATAATAATTTTTAAAAGTTAGCCAGGCGTGATGGCCTCCCCCTGTACTCTCAACTTCTCAGGAGGCTGAGGCAGGAGGATCGGTTGAGCCCAGGAGGTGGAAGCTGCTATGACTGCACCAATGCACTCCAGCCAGGGCAGAACAAGACCCCATCTCCATAACAAAACAAAAAGAAAGCAAAAAAGCACGTTTTTCGTGCATGTATAAACAGTGCTTCTTCATTCTCAAACTCTTAGCTCTATTGCTCTGATCTGCAGAGAATTTCAAAAACCAAGCCACACAGCTAGTTACTTGGCCAACAACAAATAGGCTGAACAACAGCAAACGATCCAATGAGCCATTTCATAGGGTTCGCCCTCATAAAAATTACAAGGGGGAAAAAGAAAAGCGACGCGGGTGGCGTGAAACGGCATTAAATGGGGACAAGAAGAAGTTAAAAACGACTCACCTGTCATTCCAATCGTCCCCTCGACGTCTTTCATCTCTCTCGCGGGAACGGTCGTAGTCGCTGCGCTCTCTTCTGAACTTGTCTCTGCGCCTTCGATCGTACTCGTCATCACTGTCACCCATGGCGCGGTCTGAGGGGGCCTGGGGACCGGGGAGGGGCGGTCAGGGTGGTGCAAAAGGACAAGCGGAGGAAGAGATCGTCCCTCGCGGGCACCTCGCCCGCTTCCCTCCCGCCAAGGCCAGCCCTCCGCGGCCCCCACCATCCTGGGCCTCAGGACGCGGCTCCAACGCTTCCACTCGCCCCGAGGGTCTCCCAGCACGCCCCCGTGGCCCCCGGTTCCTCTCCCGCCCCAGCGGGGCCCCCCAGGCTCCTCCCCTCCCCCACCTGGGAGCGGCCGCGGCCGTTGTACTCGCGCTCGGACGGGCTGGATTTCAGGGCGACCTGGGCCGCGGGCGCGCGACGAGGACGACGAGGAGGGCGAGACGAACACGGAGCTCTTGGTTACAGGGCCAAAGAGAGGGGAACAAAAGTGGGACAACCAAGGATGGGCGGTAGCGAGCGCGGCCCGCGTTGCGCCTGCGTCACCTACGCCTCCGAGGCACAAAGCTCCCCCCTCGCGGCCCGAACTGGAACTAACGAACCGAGCGCGATGGGCGGGGAAAGCAGGGCGTGACGGGAAAGGGGCGGGGGTTCTCGCAAGTCTCGCGAGGTTTTTCGAGACGAGACTGGCTAGAGTTTTAGGAACTACGGGAACTCGGCTGGGCCAAGCGCGGCCTCGGGGGGCGAAGGCGCTCTCTGGGCGCGAAGGGAGAGCTTCCGAGGGCCGAAGTCGAGGATCGCGCGACACCGGATGTGTAGGGGGGTCTGAGCCAGTTCTTATCCAGCCGTGTTCCCCCTACGGGCCTCCTGACCTCACCGGGGGGGTTTCGTCCTCTCCTCGGGCAGGACGTGGACTTGGGAAGCGCGTTTAGGGGATGGAAGATGGAAGCAACCATTTTAAAGCATCGTCTCCCACCATTTTCTGCTCCAAATATCCAGCCAAAAGTGGGTGCCACAGTGCGCACTAAATGCAAAGTCCGCCATTCCTGATCTTCCTCGACAAAAACGCCCCATCTTTAAGGAAAACTGGTAGATCTCAGTTTTAACCCCACTCAGTACTTGGATGATATAGGCTGTAAGTTAAGGCCCGAAACAGAGTATGTACCGCCCACATTCAGTGGACTGCCACGCCCGGGAGTAACACCAAGGCCCCTCTCAGAATTGAGTGTGAGACCTGATAGGAAGGCCAGCTGAGGTGACTCACGCCTGCAGTCCCAGCGCTTTGGGAGGCCGAGGTGGGAGGATCACTTGAGCCCAGGAGTTGAAGACCTGCGTGGGCAACATAGCAAGACCCCTTTACAGAATATTTAGGGCCAGGCACAGTGGCTCACACCTGTGATCCCAGCACTTGGGAAGGTTGAGGAGGGAGGACTTGAGCCCAAGAGTTCAGGACTAGCCTGGGCAACATAGCAAGATCCCATCTACGCACAAAAAAATAATAACTGGGCTTGGTAGGATGCCCCTGTGGTCCTAGCTACTGGGGAGGCTAAGCTAGGAGGACTGTTTGAGCCTAGGAGTTCAGGGCTGCCTTGAATTTCACCACTGCACTCTAGCCTGGGGAACAGAGTGAGACCCTGTCTCAAAATAGATACATATAGGAAATCTTGCCTCCTCCCTAAGGCATGCTTGCTCCCAGCACTGAGAGGTGGGTAGTGACAGATTACAAGAGTTGTCAAAAAAAACTGGACCTGAGCCAAAAAGACCCAGGTTCCACCATTTAAGAACCATGCAATCTGGGGGAGTCACTCTCCTCTGGCATCCTCACATGTAAAAATGCAGACAGTGGCCGGGCGCGGTGGCTCACGCCTGTAATCCCAACACTGGGAGGCCGAAGCAGGCAGATCGCTTGAGGTCAGGAGTTTGAGACCAGCCTGACCAACGTGGTGAAACTCCATCTCTACCAAAAATACAAAAATCGGCTGGGCGCGGTGGCTCACACCTGTAATCCCAGCACTTTGGGAGGCCGAGGTGGGGGGATCACGAGGTCAGGAGATCAGGACCATCCTAGCTAACACAGTGAAATCCTGTCTCTACTAAAAATACAAAAAATTAGCTGGGCATGGTGGTGGGTGCCTATAGTCCCAGCTACCCGGGAGGCTGAGGCAGGAGAATGGTGTGAACCCGGGAGGCGGAGCTTCCAGTGAGCCGAGATTGCACCACTGTACTCCAGCCTGGGTGACAGAGCAAGACTCCATCTCAAAAAAATAAACAAATAATTAGCCAGGCATGGTGGCAGGCGCCTGTAAACCCCGCTACTCGAGAAGCTGAGGCAAGAGAATCACTTGAACCCGGGAGGCGGAGGTTGCAGTGAGCCGAGATGGCATCACTGCACTCCAGCCTAGGTGACAGAGCCAGACTCCGTCTCAAAAAAAAAAAAAAAAATGCAGGTAGTAACAACAACTGGGCTTGTAATGGGCTACTGGGAGAATCAGATAAGACAGCAGACTTGGAAGTGTTTTGTAAACTCGAGGGATTATTATTTCTTGATTGGAGAAAGAGGAGACAGCATTTGGTGATGAAGTCATACAGGTGGATGTCAGGGAGGGTGATCAATCGAAGGATGGGAACTGGAACTGAGAACCCAGCAGGTACTTCTAGGAAGACTCAGCAGTCAGTGGTGACGGTGGCTGAGAGCTCCTGGATGCGCCAGGCGCTGCAGGCCTTGCATAAGATGTGCCCATCCAGCGGGTAGCAGCCCTGACACTCGCCCTCAGAGGAGAGCAGCAGCCCACACTCCTGTTGAAAAAGAAGCAACAATTGGCCGGGTGCAGTGGCTCATGCCTGTAATCCCAGCACTTTGAGAAGCCGAGGCGGGCGGATCACAAGGTCAGGAGTTCAAGACCAGCCTGGCCAATATGGTGAAACCCTGTCTCTACTAATACAAAAATCAGCCAGGCGTGGTGGCCAGCACCTGTCATCCCAGCTACTCAGAAGGCTGAGGCAGGAGACTCGCCTGAACCCGGGAAGTGGAGGTTGCAGTGAG